GCTGGCTTCCATCCAGCCCCAGGGCTGGGACTGGCTGGCTTGGGGCAGGGGGATGGGAAATGGGGCATGGGGTCTTTCCCCCTCGGGGGCGCTGGCTTCCATCCAGCCCCAGGGCTGGGACTGGCTGGCTTGGGGCAGGGGGATGGGAAATGGGGCATGGGGTCTTTCCCCTCTAGGGTGCGCCAGCTCTGATCTGGCCCCAGGCTGTTTTGGGGGATGGGCTCCAGGCTCAGCAATTCATGTGTGAATCAAGTTTGCCAGGTCTCAGCCCCGTTCCCAGCAGGGACAGGGAACCCCCCTGCCCCTCCCACAGGCACTAAATGGCCCCGGGGTCCCAGGCCTCCCTAGCTCCCCACTAACCGCAGCTCCCTGTGTCCCCACGGCAGGTTCCTGCAGACGGCCGAGATGGTGAAACCCTCCACGCCCTCCCCCAGCCACGAGTCCACCGGCTCCTCGGGTGCCGACGAGGGCACGGAGTATTATCCCCACGTCGGTGAGCAGCCGCTGCCCCCTGCGGCACAGCGCCCCCTAGTGCCGTGCTGGGGCATCAGGGCCAGCCCTGACTGCCAGGGAGAGCCCCCCCACCCGCTCCCTGCAGCACAGCGCCCCCTAGTGCCGTACTGGGGCATCGGGGCCAGCCCTGACTGCCAAGGAGAGCCCCCCACCCTGCTCCCTGCAGCACAGCGCCCCCTAGTGCCGTACTGGGGCATCGGGGCCAGCCCTGACTGCCAAGGAGAGCCCCCGCCCTGCTCACATAGCACAGCGCCCCCTAGTGCTCCATTGGTGAATTGGGGCCAGGTTATTCTAGCAGGTGTTGGTCTGTGCAGTGATGTCCAGGCTGAATATCCTCTCCCCCTCGCTCCAGTTTTCCTGCAGAACAAGGCCAAGCGGGAGAATTTCTGTCCCCGGAACCTGAAGCAGATGCACATGGTTATCGATAAAATCATGATGCACTCGCACCTGAAATACAAGGGTAAGCCTTCCCCGCTAGCTCCCCCTGCGCAGGGGTGCGGTGAACGGGGCCCCGGACACCTGGGTTCCAGGACGCAGAGCTAATGGCCCAGCTCCTGCTGGGGAAAGTGCTGGGGGATTTGGAATGACCAGGAATGGCTGGAGGCTTGGGTGTGATTCTCACCTCAAAAGTAACACAGCACCCCGTAGTACTGTGCTGGGCTTTGGGGCCAGCCCTGACTGCTAGCCCCCCACCTTGCCCCCTGCAGCACAGCGCCCCCTAGTGCCACACTCTGTCTCTGTCTCTCAGGCACTCTCTCCATGCTGGAGTGTAACATCTTCCCTGGCCTGCCCTACGACTACCTGGACACGGAGGTGAATCTCTTCCTGCTGCCGTTCGCGGACAGTGACGCCGACGACACTTTCCCCAGAGCAGGTAGGGAGTTGGGATCCCGCCCCCGGAGTCGTCCTACTCTGCTGTCCCTCTGTGCTGCCCTAGGTGGCGCTGTGTGTATTTGTCCCCCTGGGCTGGGGAACAGGCATCTGCAGTCCTGGGGCGTGGCCTCTAGGACGGCACTGTCCTATGCCCCCTTGTGGTCCCTGAGTGCGGGCCCTAGGGCAGTGCCCTCCTCTGCCCCCTGCCGTCCTCGGGGCAGCCCTATTTTCATTCTCTCCCCCCTTGTGCTTGCAGCTCCTGGGGGTGGCCCCCTCTTCTCCCTGCTGCCCGGGTACAAGGGGCACCCCAGCTTCCAGTCGCTCATGGCCAAGCTGCGCAGCCAAATCATGTCTATGGCACGGCCCCAGCTCTCCCACACCATCCTGACGGAGAAGAACTGGTGAGGGGCCGGATACAGTTGAGGGAGCAGGGGATTATGGGTAGGCAGGCTGGGTAGGAGATTATGGGGCAAAGGATTATCGGTAAGAAAGTTTGGGGATGTACTGCAGGGAGTGGGGTGGGGGCTCTCCCTGGCAGTCAGTGCCAGCCCCGATGCCCCAGGGCAGCGCTAGGGGGCGCTGTGGTGCAGGGCGCGGGGTGGGGCTCTCTCCCGTGGCAGGCAGGACTGGCCCCGATGTCCTAGGGGGCGTTGTGGTGCAGGGCGCGAGGGGTGGGGGCTCTCTCCCGTGGCAGGCAGGGCTGGCCCCGATGTCCTAGGGGGCGCTGTGCTGCTGGGTGCGGGGTGGGGCTCTCTCCCATGGCAGGCAGGGCTGGCCCCGGTGTCCTAGGGGGCGCTGTGCTGCAGGGCGCGGGGTGGGGCTCTCTCCTGTGGCAGGCAGGTCTGGCCCCGGTGTCCTAGGGGGCGCTGTGCTGCAGGGCGCGGGGTGGGGCTCTCCCGTGGCAGGCAGCGCTGGGCCCGATGTCCTAGGGGGCACTGTGCTGCAGGGCGTGGGGTGGGGGCTCTCCCGTGGCAGGCAGCGCTGGGCCCGATGTCCTAGGGGGCACTGTGCTGCAGGGCGTGGGGTGGGGGCTCTCCCGTGGCAGGCAGCGCTGGCCCCGGTGTCCTAGGGGGTGCTGTGCTGCAGGGGGTGTGGTGGGGTGGGGGCTCTCCCGTGGCAGGCAGGGCTGGCCCCGATGTCCTAGGGGGCACTGTGCTGCTGGGGGCGGGGTGGGGGTTCTCCCCCGGCCATCGGCGCTGACCCACATGCTGTGCACCCCCCGGCAGGTTCCACTACGCGGCCCGGATCTGGGACGGGGTGAAGAAATCCTCAGCACTCTCGGAGTACAGCCGCCTGCTGGCCTGAGCGACTGCCGCCCACGGAGCCGCCGCGCTGGGGGGCCGCACCGGGGCCCCCACCCTCTGCCTCCTGGGGCACAAGTGGTCTGCTGGGCAGCCCGGGAAGTGCTGTTTGGTCGCTGGCTCCAGGCGGGGTGCGGGAGAGCCCGGGCAGGATGCCCCTCCTGGGTCACCATCCCACTCCCAGAGGGCACCCGGGGCAGAGCCGCTCTGACCCCCCCCCCCC